TGCGCACATGAGCTGAGGCAAAACTGATAGGAAATCAACGGCATGCATATGCACCGTGCACAACACTTTGACCAGATTCCACTGGACAAAGATTCTGCCTTAAGTAAACTCATGCTACACACAATTTATTTATGAGTTAAGGGATGCATGAAGATGGAAGGGCAAGGCAATTACGTGTACATATCACTGACTCGCTGATTTAATTTCACAAGGAACTTGCAGCATCTGGCAAAAGACAGGGCTCGCCAACAAAACTCACACTTCCCTCCAGGGGCAATCCTTTGTGCAATGAAAGCAAAAAGAGGCAGCAAATCAACGACATCAAGCCAACTGATTGCGTCAATGAATGGGGTAGGAAACACATATATTTACAAGCATTCAAATAGATGGTTGAACGTAAAGATGATGGATCCATTCATGATTTAGATATGAATGTGAAATTGCCTGAGAATACCGGTACATGTACCGGTACTTGAGAGAACACCTACTTTGAGATCTAGTATACATGTACACAATGTACGCACTGTTTATCAAGTATCATCCACAAGACAAAAACAACAAATATGTATATTTCAATGTATGTTTTAAAAAATGAGAGCCTCAAAAGTAGACCTATCAATGACATCCTCTAGTCTGATTTTTTTTAAAACATCTTGTTCTACCATTTAAACTGTCAAATTCCTATAGTCCAAAACCATGTAAATGTACTCTTGTAGTATTAGTACAACTGCTCGGTGACAACATAATCTACTCTTTACGTTTGTTAATGTACCAATTCAAATATACCTTGTACCTCTTGAAAAGGCCATTGTGTTTACAAAGCCCTCTGTCAGTGTCAAATGTGCAGTGTAGGGCCACTTACTTCAAATTTAAATATTATCAAACAATAAAAAAAAAAAAAACCATGAACACGTACCACACTGCACAGTTGTACCGGTAGTTTATTTACACGTCTGAGAAAGTGTCGAAAGCCTTAATTGCCAAATACTATTCACGTACTGCACAATGTCCAATGTACATGTACACTGTACAGGTACAAGGACTAAACTGCATTTTCGACGCAGTGTTATGTAAATGTAGTACAAATCAATCTCAACACCTATGCACACATGTGCAGGTAAATCTCCAGATGCAATAACGATAACATTATGAAATGCCCATTGCCTAATTTCGTGAACAGGAATTCAGCATTTGGGCAGACTTTGCTACCCGGTTCATGAACAGTACAGCTACATGTACGGTATTATTTAATTATACATGCAGCTTCGGAGAGGATACCGGTATTTTTTAGTGGAATACATACATTTATGCCAAACATGTGTGCTATACATACATGTACATGAATGTACATATCATGAACATACACGTTCAAGTGTAGGGCACATGTGTAACTCGATCTACAACAGAAACCTGCCGTGTAATTATGGTTGTGTGCTATTGGCACTTAACATACATCCCCAACATCCTTCGCTCTGTAATAATCCTATTCCTAATCATATGTGAAATTCCTACAATGGCTCATCAAATAGCCTTCTGTATTGCAGGTATTGAAACTTCTCATCCCATACACAGTACAGTAATGGAATGCATTGCATACGGACACTTACACAAGGCATTTATTTAGATAATTTGACCTAAGAGAGTTCAGTAATGTGAGATGTAGGCTTCAGGGACAAGTACATGCGTAGGTCCTACATGTACATCTCATTTATAAGTTGAACAAAATTTGTAAATTAAAAAGGGGTTTAATTTCTGTTGTTGCACTTAATATTCAGACTCAATGTATACAGTATGTACTTGCACGTATACATCAATGAATAAAGATGAAGTTATGCAGGACAAATTCTGGTCAATTTGAGGTTTTCAATAAAGGACTGTTCACTTGAGCTGTACACACAGAATCATATGATGTAATTACTAGAAATTCTATACATTTCAACAATTCATGAATTCATCAATTTAAATTCAACAAATTTATCAATGACCAGATTAAGGTCAAGTTGGCACTTAGCATCTATATCTAGACAAGATAGTGATTGATTGGTCACATGTCACCAATAGGTAGCAGCAGTATGGTGTATGGCTAATGCAGAAGGGATATGGTTCACCCACTGTACTAAATAACTAGAGATTTAGTTTTTAATTAATAGCTACAGTTGAATGTAGCTTGCTGCTTTTGATATAAAAAACGCATTCATGGTCTGATAAACCCAAAACTGCACAATCAGAAAATGCGAGTTTCACTTCTCTAGGCACAAAATAAAACCGCAAATGCTTCAGATTAAAAATTGTAATAATCATGAAACCACTCGCAGAGTCTGGCGCTACAATTACACGTGTACACGAATGTGGGGTAGAGCTTGCTGGTGAAATTCCATTCCATTTACAAATGTTTAATACCAGTTTCCATTCCAAATACAAATGTTTAATACCAGTATATCCTACAATGATGCACATTAATTCTAAATATTTGTGCCCAGGGCGCTTTTAGTTTACCAAAGAGAATGGGGAGTTTCAGCACTAGTAATTAAAGCTTAATGTGTTCGCCATTTCTGGGATTTTTTTTTTTTTTTGCTTTTAATGGGACACTCCTGTGATCAACGTACCGTACCTTATGCATTTGCCTGCTTCAATCCACTCAGCTTCAATGGCCATGCAATGTTATTTTTTTATTACAATCTTTGCAATTGCATTTTTCTGTCCCATTTACAATGTAACCTTATTTTCAATTTTTTGTTTTGCCATTTTCAAGAATATTTTGGTGCCTTTTTGTTTTTTTATGCTAATGTAAATATCCATATATTCATGAGCAAAAGTGTGATGTCATTTCAGGTAAAACCGCATTGTTACATCTATTTCAGCACCAAAAGTTGCCAGAATTTTGGATATTTTTCTGTCATGAATTTAAATTTTTCATCACAATTTTAACAAAAAAACCCATAAACTGAACAGTGTCTTCCTGAAGTGACACCACAGCAACAGCACCCTCAGTTTAAGCACATGTGGACAATTTTAAAAGTCTAAGAAGAGCATTTTTTCAATAAAATTAACCAAAAGGGGCTTTCAAATACTTGTCATACTTTTAAGAGTAGAAAGCTGCACAAAATATATTCCCAAGAAAAATCCATTGCATGGACCCATTAAATAAAATTAGGCCTATCCACAACACCCATGGATGTACATTAATTCAAGATTTTAAGATCTGCTTGATGCACATTCAACCTGAAAGCATCCCAAGGTTCCCACAAAGGGTGGAAAAATATCAAAGTTATGGCAAACTTGGGTAAGTTCCTCTGTAAAAGACAATGTGTATATGAATCAAGATGGTTGGTATTTTATGTATTAAGTTAAATGTACTATGGCTCACTCTATATTTCGTACTGTTTTTCACAGCTCTAGTAGCGCACATGTAATAAGTACCTTACTTTTTAGCCAAAAACCATTATCAATTGCTTTTGTGCAGGGCTTTTATGTATTAAAAATGGCAAACAGCAAACCACTGTCAAATATAAATTATCCAAAGTCCAACCTTCAATATAATTCCTAAACTGTTGTGCAGTTTTGATGGCTGAATAAATTTCCATTTTGTTTTCAAACACATAGGCCTAGTATCCAATCATATTCTCAATTTGGTTTTAGCAAATCCCACATTAGCATTTCCAAGCAGGTTGATGATACTGTCCAAGCAATATATTTTATGGGGGCAAGGTAAACATCTGGGTGAAGGACAGTAATAAAAACACACTTTATGGTGGTAACTGTCTTCTGATACATGTTATATGTATAGGAGCTGGGGGAAGGAAAGGAGGTACATGTAGTATGTATACATGTATATAGTATATGAATGTATAAATTTAATGGTCTGAAGTAATTGTATGCAGAAATTCTGCAAACAAGTGGTTGGTCAATTTATTCTTCATCTGGAAAACAGTATGGAGTATATGCAGTACATGTATGTAAATATCCTTCTCAATTTGCAAAATGTAAAAATGAAAAAATAAGCAAAAAAGCCCTTGTGTAATTTCAACCAAAACTAAATAGTGTAGTAAATCAAACCTGTCATATACTGTTATCCCTGCAATTCCAGGAATAGGTTTCTGTAATCAAACAATTGGGTTTTTTTAATTCTGTTTACAACGAAACCATCAAATGTTCTCGCACACACTATTACCCACTAATATGACTTCTCTTATTTTCTTAGGTATTAAAGTAAAGTGATTTCCAACTTCATGTGAATGTCTTCACTCTCAAACTATCTGGTGTGGTTTGATAAAGCTAGATCAATTTTCAAATTTATGGATCATATCAATCAATTGTGTCAAAACACTGACAAGCAATTTTACAAGTTGATTGCAAAGTTTTATTAAACAGGAAATACATGTACATTTGACTGACTATAATTGTGTATGAATTACTGAGGAAAGACTGTTGCATCCTGACGCCACTTTTTTCATCATATATCATCTCAATGAAGGCCAGTCATTACAAAAATGTTGAAAAGGCATGAATCTGGGACCGAGAAACATTTCCAATTTTGTTAGAAAATACTTTAAAAATGCACTCAACTCTCCATAGACTTTGTACACAGCCAAAGATGTGGTGTCTGATATGTATGTATTTCATTCTTTCCGTTGCTTAAGTTAAATGCTTTGTTCATTTGCTCAATCCCCCCTTCCCAAAAAAAAAAAAATTATGGCTAGCAAATTTGATTTTAGTCATGTTAGTAGGCCTAAGTAAGATATATCAATCAATACATTAATTAAACATGTTAAATTTCTGCTGAACCACAGAAAACTAACTTTTACTCTAACAAAAAAAAGGGTCTTGATTGACTGTACTACTAGTACTACTAGCCTTTGGGCCAAATTCAAGTTAGGCCTTACTTCTAGAACTATTAAGGCATGTACCTTTCTGGTGCCTCTAGCTCTAGAACTTATTGAGGCCTATAAAGAAATGATGGAGACGGAGTGATAGCCCAATAAGTAAGAGAATGAACAAACCTCATATGCATTTTTGATGTTGATCGTCTCCTTGGTTTGGGCCACATGCCCGGCTATACCCTGTCCAAAGGGTATATGAATTTCGTCTGCCTCTGTATGAAGGGCATCCTCCACTGTTGAATTCTCTGTCACATCAAAGAGCTTTGATACCAGGTAGCGATTTTCACGATTTCCACGGGCTAGGAAGAGACTGCAGCGGTCCCCATTTGTCAGGATACTCACATTCATCAGAATCTTATGACTGAGCGTGTGTAGGTCAAGTTCATCAGCTATGTCCCGAATCAGTTCCATAAATAAATCTTTCTCGTCAAGCTGCCGAAGCGCAGACTTATTTCTTCGCACGATTTTCCGTTTCCTTGGTGACAACAGGCTCCGCAAACTTCCACTGGCCCCTGCAAAACTTTTCCGCAGGGAGTGCAACATTTTGTGCTTCTCCGTGTTGGACGCACAGGCGGAGACATCAGGCCAAGAACCAATTTCATGGCTAGACATACTCTTTGAAACATGTCCGACCGAATGCTTAGACAGCCATCCATCCACCAACTCTGGTGTGGCCTTCGCGGCAAAAATCTCCACAGCAATATCTTGATGGGTGTCCAAGTATTTCTCGACATCTTCACGACACACGTCCCGTTTTTCCGACATTTTGAATGGCCTTTACCCTCGGTGTTCTCGATATATAAACACTGTTCACTAAAGTTTGTAATATTTACTTCATATACTGTACTTACTACTGACGAAGAAAATAAAGAAACGTCATTTGGCTGGGCTCGTCCAGTTGTTGGAAGGCCCCTGACGACTGGCAGCTGAACCGAGTAGGAAATAGCACCACACAAACTTGTCACGCAGTGGTTGCATTTGCCGGTCAAAACCGATTCCCAGTGTCATTTTGCTCGAGACCGAAAAAGCCTGTTATGATGTTGACGGATGATATGCATATCTACAGTACCTGGTAAACTCACACAACACTGGAATTCTCTTAAATGCCTTCATTTGTCCAGATACACCATAAACATCTGCACATTCAGTCTTCGGCATAGAGCCTTAGAGGTCTAGTCTTTCAATTCTGCATTCCAATGCGAATTGCGAACTGCATGCGCTGCACACACTGATTTATTGTACACTACATGCACTGCACTACGCACGATGTGCAACGCGTACGTCGTCCACCATCCGTACACTAGCTATACGTGTTATTAGTACAGTGTACATGTACATTGCCCACGCTGGCTGCATGAATTGGTAGCCATGCACGACATGCGCAGCGCGCAGTCAGCTGTCAAATTCAATCCGTGACGTCATCCCAAATTTGTCCAATCACAGCTGTTTAAAGTTCTCCCCGGCGGTTTCTAGGCAACGAAATTGTACTTACGTACAGCTCAGTCGGAGAAATCCGACTAGTATGATATGATTATCATCTATGATATATGGCTTTAAAAGCCTTATTTTTCTCCAACACCTCTTGAAATACTTGACACTTTGGTCCCGTTTTATATTGAAGAACAGATTGGATGATCCTGAATCAGATAACGTGGTTCATTTTTAACAGGAGAAGCAAGTCACTGAAGTTCTAGGAAGCCGATGCTGAGCAAAATATGATGACGATGTTTTGAAGTGAGGCGTGGAAGGCCTGCCAAGCACCAGCATGGGGAAAAGTGCCAAGAAACAAAAATATTATAATTAAATTATTTATAGCCTGTGACTGGGGTGTAACCACCCCGAACCCTCGCCCGACTGACAAATTATTCAAGTTAGGGCCTGTATATAATTTGGAAAAAAGTTCTTTCAGCTCCAAGCATAACATCATATTCAATATTGCAAACCTTGAGCTCTTTTATTCATTGATTGCAATGCCTCACCCCCCCCCCCCCCCCCGGTGAAAAGTCTTTGAATTCAACATCCCGGCCATCCCTTTGAGTAAAGCTTGATTTTACAATAATTGATAATTGATTTGAGACGCAATGAGGTTTACGTCCAGCGGCGGTTTTCACCTTTTAACGTACCCACCGCCCTGCAAACAGCCTCCTGTTTGCAGTGGATACGAGCAAACTTTTAACCCCGTCTACTTTCTTTTTGTTAATCAAAGGGCACCGTTTGGTTTGCAACCGTTTGGTTTGGTAATTTCAGCTAAGACATTTTGATGTGATTTGGTTTGATGTTCAACTCCCAATTTGGTATCCTGGGTTTTGCCATATCAGGTGTACAACGTAGTTCTACATTTTATTTCTCTTGAAGGGTGATTAAGATTTGATCGTGACATGCGCGCTACGCACGCGTAGGCCTATTTTACAGAACCGATTGATTTTCGTCACACTCGGTACATTTCGTTTTCACGAAGTAACACCGATGTTTATTTCACCAGTTTAAAGGCTTTTAGTATAGTTTCTGTAATCACACAAGGCTACGGATTTATCACATTCCTATCAAACGTTTTAAAACGTTTTCACCCAATTTGTGTTTCCGTATAAGCAACTTTGTGAAAACGCAAATCGTTCGCGCCAGTGTCCGATGTGCGCGCGCACACTCGGGTGTTACTTCGTGAAACCAAACTTTGTCATGCAGCGGTTTTCACGTAGTAAAAAAAATAGTGGACTTGGGTGTATATAGTGTCGGTGACGTGTTATGCGAAAATCAGTCGCAGCCAGTTAGCCATACTCGCACTCATGCACTATGAACCTGACATGGGAGTTCATGTCCCATGCATGTACGAATCCCGTTCGGTCAAATTCTGAACAAGACTTAGTTAAATATTTGCAAAGTTAAAGTTGCACATACCCCGTTTGCTTAAAAACGAATACACATATTGTTTTAATTTTTCTCATAACAAATTTTAAATTCGTCTTGGACCACTGCATGCGGCCGCAGTCCTGCATGAAAACAATAAGGGCAAGAGAGAGAAAAGGTGAATGAAGATACAGAACTGATTCGTAAAAATCCTAACAGTTTTCGATTTTACTGAAATGGACAGGGGAAGGGCTATAAATCTTTAATCAATCTTTAACCAATCTTTAAAAAAAGTGGGATCAAACACCCCAGTGTGTGGGCTACGAACTTGTTTCTGAATAATATTTGGTGGGGGCGCGCTGTACATGGAACAGTTTCAAGACACAAGGAACGTGTCTAATCGTAGAAACATGCAGGACCAAGTTGACCTTGCTCCGTCTTGCAATTCGCAACACCAAGACGTTGCAAATTCAATCTAGAATCCAAGGTGACTTCGGAAGCAGATTCGACCGTGGGCCTTTTAATATCAAGTTACTCGACAGGTATATAGGGCCTTGGCAAGTGATTTGGAAAATGGGATTCCGTGCGGGGAATTACACACTCCGCGACAGCTCGGGCAAAATCAACAGAAATCGGTGTAAGGCAAAAACAATTTGACAGCCATCACTTGTCAATTTTTACCCCGGATAGGCAATTGTTTCTGTTGAGAAAAAAACCCGCAAGGCTAAACAACTTAACAGACATGCAAGAAACACCATTTATACACGATATTCAATTCAAACCGTTATACAATATACATCCTTTTATTTCATTGGTAAAACTATGTACGTTGATATTATCACAGGTGAACTTTAAAACAATAGAAATTTGTCATGTGTTAAAATATTCTCTTTTAGTTTTTAATGTGCTTCCTTTTAGATAAACTTTTCTTAAAACCTTCCCTTACAAACAAGACGAAGCTGAGCTAAGTTCGTCATTTTTCATTTCACTTTACATTATTGGAAGACGGATAGAGCGGGAACTTTTTGGGCGCGCCATAGTTGCCAAACTTGAAACACGCATGAAAGTGTCATGAGGAGGCGGGCGTGCCATATCCAGGCTCTGGGTCTCGAGTGCAGAATGAGGAATTTCAAACCTAAAAAGTGGTTCCTTACTTCGTTTGTTAAAGCTTTGGAAAAAGAATGCGACTTTCAAGTTTGCTGGTACTGAATGTGCTAACCTGGCACGAGAAGGAAATCAAAACAAAGGAAAAAAAACCCAAAAAACACAACCACGCCCCCCCCCCCAAAAAAGAAGCAAAATCCAAACAAAACAAACATGTAACTTCAAAAAACAACAAACAAACAAACACCCCGCTAACAAAACCAACACCCCGCTAACAAAACCAACAACCCCCTAAAAACAAATGCACATGTACATGTATTTCAAGGGAAAACGGGCCTCGGACTTGGCTGGCCGAGTTGTACACCTCAACTTGATACACATTATTTTCATGAAGCCTTGGCCCAAGACTGTCTTGCGAACAGCTGCCAACGGAACCATGGACGCCAGAACTTTAAACAAAACAAAATCTTCTGTTGTGTTCTGTAGTACACTCTCTGTCCCCTTTATTCATTAAATTGCTTTGCAATATTATCAAAAAGTCAATTAATTAAAAAAATATTAATTTATTGATACTAATACAAATACTTTTTATTTGTGAGGTTTCTCATTAGATCTTACCATTACGTCATGTCAAACAATCACTATACATGTAATTACTTGGGATAGAATTTTGCCACTGTGGAGATTAAGTTTCCAAAATCAAGGATATATATGATGGACACTTTCTTTGTATCAGAAAAATTTGAAAAACCCCTACTAAATTTGAAAAATGTCCTCTCTGAAGACCCAACAACAAACATTTGCCAAACTTAGATAAACAGGTAACAAATCATGTTATGCACACTGGCTCAAGTTAGTAATAAAATGTAATCTTACATAATGCATAATTTTTGATATACATGTAAACAACAGCCAAGCAAAAAACAACAACAGCCCATCAGCCATCCAACTGACCCATGGTGACCTCAGGACCGTACCAGCAATAAAGAATTACTGAATTACATCAAATATCTGCTGGTTGGGCTGTCCATAATAAAGAAGTTGCTAGTGCAGGGCCTGCCCAGGCAACTATACATGCAACAATTTTGTTGGCATTACTACACTAAGAAGGTATGCATTTAGTGTGTATCAACAATTTTGAACAAGATTATATATGGCTTAATTGATACTGGAAACAGTGGCTTGATCATTTCAATGTTACAATTCGCTGACAAATTAAACATTACTCCCTTGCATTAAAATGCACCATGGAAAAATAAGGCACAGTTTCGGGATCGGGGTCAGGGGGGGGGGGTGTGGGTTATATCATTTCTAGTTATGAAACAAGTCTGGGCTTGCCCAGATGAGCTGAACCCAAAAGTCTCAGTGGAAGACATGCATGATGTACACAGGGATGAGATTGTGAATTAAAAAAAAAAAGTCTGGAAACTGGATTAAAGGTATGAAAGATGCATTTCTTTCTATGCTGATAATGTCTTTCTCTAAGGTTAAAAAAAAGTCTGAATTTGAACTCAAGTCTGAACAAACTCTCTGGCCTGGGTGTGCATTAAGCTAGCAAATGAGCTGTTAGTGTTACAGCAGTTCACAATGAAATACACGTCCCCCAAAAATGTCCGTCTGACTATTTTTTGAAGTAACTACAAAACCATGAGGTCAATTTTCAAAATAAGTCATTGTGCAGATACTCCTTATCCTTGGCTTTAACCCCTATGAGTTTCATTTAATTTCAGTCACGCATCACTACACAATTATCAATTGATCACAACGACAGTTGTGGACACTGTGACCTTGCCTTAATGAACTTCAGTGTTGTACTGTGTAAAAATCCTGCATGTTGTGGAAAAGGCTGCATTTGGGATTGGAAATTCATCTGCCTGGCTATCAGTCATCATGGCAAGACATCAGTTTAATGCTCAAGAGCAAATGATTCCAATCCCAAACCATACCAGCTTTTTTTTCAGAACATGCAGGATTTTACACAGCTTACTTAACACAGCACTGAAATTGATCATGGCAAGGAACTTGGTCACAGTGTCCAAAAATGTTGCTGTGATCAATTGATCATTAAGCAGTGATACGTGACAAAAATTAAATGAAACTCATAGGGGTTTAGGGCCAAGGCTTAGGAGTACATGTATCTACACATTCAATTTTTTTTCAAAATTGACTTCAGGGTGTTGTAGTTATTTCAAAAACAGTCAGATGAACACTTTTTTGGGGACATGGTCAAAATATGGACAACGTCAAAGTAGAAAAGACGCAACATCAGCTGTTCAGGTCAACTACAAGCACTGTACAAAGTCATACAACGTACATGTACATCATTGATACTCAGTGCACGTTATTCTCGCTCGGTGACAAAGTCCGTCAGTGACTCATTCAGTTACAGGATTATATAGGCTGGCGCCTTTGGTCCAGGAAAAACATGTATCAATTTATACAGTGTATTATTCAGTACCCGTAAGATGGGGTATCTTTGGTCAGTAGGGTAACTTTGGTCAGCACCTATATTTTTAGTTACAAGTGAATATAAATCTCAGCAAAACAAGATTTTTTCAGTAAATTTTATATGATTAGTTTCAGAAAATGCCACTGCAAAGTTGATTGCACTTGTGGTTTTGAAGTGGATAATTGTGTTAGGTCAAATTTCAAGAGGTCAAAGGTCAGAGGTCAAGGAACAAGAAGGTCAAAGGTCAAATGGCATTAAAGAAGCCTTTGGGAAAAATAATGTGTGTTTTTAGGAATCTACCGGGGTGAAATGTTCATTTGATCTTCTTTTCACCTGGAAGGAAACATTTTTAAACATGTGACATTTTTTGTCCATAGGATTTATTAGGGCTGGCCAATGTTGCCCCAAAACGGAGACTTTGGTCACATCTTTTTTTGGGCCCCCCCCCTTTTTAAGTACAATTTTTTGACACCAAACAACACCAGAGTGTAGAGTTTAGTCTGAATGTTCTAAATATTAGGGAAAATCCAATTCACCAAGTTTGTAATAAAAGCAATAGTTAAATATGTCTCAAAAATGACCAAAGTTACCCCATTTTACGGTAGTGATTTTTGTTTGTTACAAGTGAAATGAAATCATCCAAGTGAAAACACATGACAGTCAAGTGTCTGGTGTTCATATGGTGAATTTTACTGCTCGTGGTGCAGTCATGCACGGGGACCATCATTTTGCCCATTAATGCAAAATGTATTCTCCAGCTGGCGCCATCGATGGTCAAGGTAAGTGGCTTGTTTCTGGTCTGGTTCCTAGACTCTCCGTCAAATGCAGAACTTGTACTCCCTGGCCACACACAGTGACAGCATGCCCACCATGCCTTGAGAAACGAGAATGGGTATAACTTTAACAAAAAGATTGAATTTTTTTTTAAATTTCAAACAAAATAACAATTTTTTTTCCAATTGTGACATTAAAGCTACAGTCCATCATTTGCAGCTATCCAAAAAGTAACTGACGCAATTATTGTTGAAAACCGTACTTGGTTGAAAGATAGTAAGGGGACTAAACTCCCTGTGAAATTGTTCTTTCTGGCAAGCTGCCATTTTGAAGAAATCAACCAAAGAAGGCCTGTCCAACGGTGCGTCTTAAGAACAATTGGCTGAATGAGAATCATGTCCTGAATGCTGATTTTGGGATGGTGTCACGAGAGGGCGCAATTCAAAATCGACATGGCAACTTTTAAGTTGAAATTGAGATCCAGCATATTGTGTTTTCTCCAAATATACAGCAATTCACACAGCTAAAACTTCATCGAGTTAGTTGTTTAGCATTTGTCTTTAGATTTTGAGCACTTTTGTTGCTTCAAAAGGAACAACTGCACAAATGACAAATGGTTCATTCTACCTTTAAAAATTATTTGCTGGAAACCATTGTGCTTTTTTTTCCCCCGACAATGTTGGTCTAACATTTCACCTTTTGGCCCCAATTTTAACTTTTCACTTCCTGAACTAAACACTTTTGAGTTTCATGCAGTACAGTGAAATACCACTATAACGTACATCGCTATAAAGAACATTTGGCTATAACGAACATCCCCTCTTGCTCCAGGAATAGTAAATTCTATTTTAATGCACATCACCATAAGTAACGAACAACCACAAAAACAAACATATTTTATGTACCCCGGCCCACCGCGTTCGTTATAGTGGTATTCCCCTGTAATTTCACTTCAAGGGCAATAACCTTCAGACAACTCCAGTTGATATTTCCAGGGGACCGTTGCATTAAACTCAGATGACCATTCAGCGGGACAGAAAAAAAATCCCCAAGAGAATCATATTGAACACGATGGTACGCCGTTACGTGGCCCATCTTCTGGAAATTCATCACTGGTGACCCTGGTTGAATAAGCAATTCATCCACCAACCACCAACCAGCAGATTGTCTCAAATTATTAATGAGACCACACCAGAATCCTGTGTGCCTTAATCAAAAATTGTGTTACGCTCGAGTGGTTTTGATTGTCGGATGTTATGAAATCCGCCAAGCCTGAATTACCTCAAAGGCCACTGGGCCATGCCAGCGCAGTCAGCGATGAGGGTCAAGCGACTTCCGAGCGACTCGACCTGAAAGACAACATTGTCAGGGCAATGAATATATGAAACTCCACTGGATCTTTTGGAGGTGTTAAACCGGGAATTGTAGTAAGCCTCAGCAGGCTTGTGCTGTGGTTCAGAACTTAGATGGAGTGTATTAAGCCCACAACATAACATTGTCGAGGCAATGAATATTTGAAAATCCACTGGATCTTTGGAGGTGTTAAACCACGAATTGTAGTAAGCCTCAGCAGGCTTGTGAGTGTGGTTCAGAATCTTGATTGAGTGTATTAAGCCCAACTCTCTGGGTGTTTTTGTTACGTAGAATTTTCAATCCCCCCAAATTCATTACTTAACCAGAGCCATGCAGTAAACAAAGTGCAGTGCCATCAATGAGATCACCGTGTTACATTCTGAAAAGCAATTTTGGCAAAGGCAAATTGGTGTAGCATAAACATTTTTTAAAAGCACATTCTCACTTTTGATTCCTGTTAGTCTTAAAAGTAATATACAACATTTGCTTTTGAAAATGTTGTTCTTGTAGTCTGGTTCCCTGACCCTCCTTCAGACGAAACGGAGCCATTATAGACGTTGGGGAATTGTCAGGTCAGGGAACCAGACTACCTAGCTTGTACCCATTCAAGGATGTGTAACCGATTTGCAAACAAAATATGGACTAACTAAATTTGTCGGCCGACCATCGTTGGAAAATGATACAAAAAGTCCACTTTTCTTGAAAATGACAGCACACCAGGTGCCATGATTTCAAAGGATGCTTGAGACTATTATTCACTTACAGCCAAGTAAGGTATTTTATAATAATCTGGTACTTTTGTTTTATGTTCTTTTCCAATGTTGTATAGTACCTTTAACATAAATTAGGCAGCCTAAAAATAGGGGCCCAATTCAATGGCTCTGCTAACTACAATCACGCTTAGAATCACCATACTGTGTTAACAGAGCTAGAAAAATTATGTGCTAACCCAAAAATATGGATAAGCCTAAATTTCTTGCTAACCTGTGAAACATGCTAACAGTAAGCACAGAATGTTCCATTACAGTAAGAGGGGAATTTTTTTTGCCATGGGTAAGCAGAACAGGTGGACCCAGGGGCCACAATTAGAAAGGCATTAATGAGGCAGTGCTACACTCCCACGCAGCTCATAAGCGTCCCCTCGCTGCTCTTCTAAAAACAATTTGGTATTATTAGCAACAATTGTGGCTGCCAGTCTATTCCACAGGGTCACAAGATTATATTATCCCTTATGATCAAAAGAGGCAGCCTTGGCCTGACACAATTGGCCCCGGAACTGTGCAGATTGGCAATTGGGCTGCAATAATTGGCTCTGGTCAACGCATGGTTTAACATAGCCCCATAAATGGTGCCTATTTACTGGACTACCTCCGTAAATATCGGCCACACACTAAAAATTGACTCACAATGTGAAAACTTAATACAAAATTTATTTTCACAGTCAGACTGCGTCCATTAGTTGATTAATGCTTTAAAAAAAACACTCACCCTGTTAAAAGCAAATGCAATGTGGTCCGGCATTTGTCAGCCGTCCAGCTTTCGTGTCAATTTTCTGCCAATTTTGGAGGCTTCTTAGCATCCGTTTGTGTGTAAGTCAATTGCAACCATGTTCCAACTGAACAATGCTCTCGCGCAATACATGATGGGATACATGGATTGTCACCTGTCAGTCACGCAGCGCGCCGCAGGCCCGGTGACTGTTGCTTGACTTTAGAGAATCCTTCATGTATAGTGCGCCCTCATGCGTATACCGTCGGCCATTTAGCTGTACGATGTGCGTAAGTATGCATGCAATATACCGCAGGTGAACAGGATCGCGAGAGCATTGTTCAGTTGGAACATGGTTGCAATTGAGTTACACACAAACGGATGTCAAGAAGCCTCCAAAATTGGCTGACAATTGACAGCTGGACGGCTGACAGATGCCGGACCACATTGGATTTGCTTTTAACAGGGTGAGTGTTTTTTTAAAGCATCAATCAACTATGCACGAAGTCTGAATGTGAAAATAAGTTTTGTACTAAGTTCTCACGTTGTGAGTCAATTTTTAGTCTGTGGCCGATATTTACGGAGGTACATGTAGTCCAGTAAATAGGCCACATTTATGGGGCTAGGTTTAACAGCCAGAACGTATTTTGTTTTTTCCCCCATTTGTAACGCAGAGGAAATGTAAAGCCTCCATGCACAACCATTCACTCCAGTAGTCTATGGAATATCCGCTTGCACATAAGCATTTATGATATGCGTGCAGATGTGGTTGCAGATTAATTATGCAAAACCACACTGTGTCTTTCTATTGGGTCTTTGGTAACCTGTTGTTGTATTGCAAAGACATGACAGCAATTTGACCAATCGACAGCTTAGTTCACAGTGCTGCACAAGTTGATGTCACAATTTCTAAAGTCGACTCCGATTGGCTGGCACGCAAGGTCACATAAATTTGCATTGCACATATATGTCATTGTTGCTGAGATAGTGTGCGGGCTCCGTAGAACAAGGGTTGATACTCAGACTAATCCTCCAGTGTCAAAACTCTGAAAATTAATAGTGTGTCAGCCCCATAGACCTTATGCATTGCAGTATCTCAGAGGCTCTTCTTTGTTAGTATAATTTAGTAACAATGAATGCTCAAAAGGTTTACTCATGCCTATCCTAGCAATACAAAGCCATTGCCCTCTGACTCCGCCTTAAAGCATGAGGTCTATTATCTGTGTGTATATACACTTGGCTGAATGCAAGCAATTCATGTTAAACACAAGCTGAAAATCCTGCTCGCTGCTCACTGCACACGTTGGCCAAACAACACCGGTGTCTCCGAGATGCCAAATTGCATGTTCTGACAGCATGCATCACAAGTGCACACGAGCCACACTTCTGTCGGGTATTTGGCTGCACATTCACTGATGACTGTAATTGGTCAAAAAAAATCAAGGGGTGGGGTTTTACGGATCAGTCCATTACCTGCATGATGGAGGTCTTATCAGAGGTGACACTGATGCTCCAAACGTTGAGTCTTTGATCTATGGACGACGAGACCAGTGTGTGGGCACCAATGAACGACAAACCTGGAAACAGAGAAACAAGAAGTTCAATGGATCATGTGTTTATCAGAAGTTTGTTTGATGTCTCCACACTAAGTTGTTTAGATGAACTATCTAAAACCTGTGCGCCACATGACTAAATCAGGAAATTAGTACAGCAACCCTTTGTAGCACTAACTAAAAAGCTGTTCTAGATGAAACCTGTTATCAATGAACGTGGACTGCACAATTTCAGTTCCATTCATAGTAACCCTTTAATGCTAAGTGATTTCTATTGCAAGGAGTACACAGAACCAATTCTTGTATGAATGTGCACAAACTGATGTATCTTGAGCCGAGGCTAATGGCAAAAAGAGTGATCAGCTGTCCAACTATCTCGTCTTTTTCATTGTTCAGGGGGTATTTGAGCAAAATTCAAGCAAAACAACTATCTCCACCTTAACAGATACCCATTTTGCACTTGGGAGAGGAGAAGCAGTTAGTGACAACATGCCTTTGCCGAGGGGCACACGCACTGCAACTACATTAGCCGGACTCAAGCCCACAATGTGCAGACTTTACTCAGACATTCGATATTAGGTTTTGCCCTTCACCGATGTATAAACACAGTGTGTTACCCCCAAGTGAAGTGGGAAAAAAATCACTCGGGTGGAACTTTGAAACCCACGATCTCCTGCTTTCTAGTGCAGACGTCTTACCACTTGACCATCAAACTTGCGGTATTGGTTGGCTGGTTCGAATCTGATGTAGCAGCGGGTACTGCAATGAAGCTCAGCTGCAACATCAAATTCGAACCAGCCAACTGATCCCAGCAAGCTTGATGGTCGAGCGGCAAGACATCTGCACTAGAAAGCAGGAGGTCATGGGTTCGAGTCCCTCCCGATTGATTTTTTCTCACTTTTATTTTTTTTTTGGGGGGGGGGGGAACACACTGAGTATACAGTGTTTATACATCGGTGAAGGGCAAAACCTTATATCAAATTTACATCACCCCGACGCAAAAATTCCATCTTATGAATCCTCAGACATTCTTTTGTTCTTTTAATGCACGACTTCTTTAACAAGACTTCTGGTATAAGGTGTCAGTAGTCTTCAGGAATGTTTGAATGACCAATGTGACATTTGACCTACCTGTGACCTGTGCAGCATGTGCACAAGTGATGCAGTGCGTATGCTCGAGACTAAAGCTGATATCCTGGTCAGATTCGGTGCATGACACGGACAGCAGGCTGAGCTGAATGGAATTGTCATCGCCTCCGCTCGCCAACAGATACCTAGTGCCTAAAAACAGGAAAAGGTACAACATTGCAGTTCAAAACTTATAGCTGAACGGACCGTTCCAGATTGGGCCATAACCCCATCCGACTCGCAATTGAGGCAACATGTGCATCTCCCGACAACGCTGCGTGATCCAGCCGTGGGTCATGTGTAAATGCAAGCATGCCAGATTTTTTTCTGACATTTGGTCGGGAAGTCAAGGCTGTGATGGGTTAAAACAATGTGAGCGGGATTAGTGAGTCGGTGCATTCACGTTCAAAACCAGTGTGTGTGAAGTCTGTGCAAGAACTGTAAATAGCGCAGCTGTCTAACGTACTCAAGGAATCTGTGAATGACATATTGCATGTGCACGTTAGTTTGATGGCAATTCGGGCAATTCACAATGCAGTGCGCCACCAAGAGTTTGCCATGGATAGTCCATTTTTTCAAGTTTACAGTCAACAAAACACGGCCTATTTGAATGAGTGTCAGTAGACAACTTCAGCTTATTTGTTATAGATTGGGGCATAGCATTCTGCCAGCTTACAAAAAACACCATACTGATAAAAAACAAGAAGGGGCAACAATTTCAAATGTCCCGCGCTGCGAATATGTCGACCATCTCCCACAATGCACTGTGAAAATGAACTCTCTGTGGCAAACTCTTGGTGGCGCACTGCATTGTCAATCACCTGAATTAGGGCAAAGATCAAAGCATCAGTGCCACATAATGGTTACTATGGAATGACCAATCCAAATCAAGGATTTCCAATTTGCATGTACAGATAAAACATAAACCTATCCAAAGTACTCACTGTCTAATTTACTCATGCAAAGTGCATTGACCCCTGACTGGTGCGCCTTCACAGAGAGCAGTAACCTTCCAAAGTCGGCATCATTGTCCCATGATGCATCAGTCTCTGCTGTTCCATGATTCCATGCAGTCCTCAGTGATGGTGAAGGTTCAGTTCTTCCCATGTCCAGATGGTTCCGTACTGTTTTTGTTTCGTCTTGCTCCAGACCAGTTAATGCGCGCAAAGTATTTGAAGTCCTGTCCCTACATGTGTCTGTGGGTAAACTACTGCGAAGTTCCTCGGCTGCAGTGAATGGTTCTCTGGTAGTATTGCACGGTTCCTTGGTATTGCCGAACGGTTCTTTCACATGTTTGCACGGTTCCTTGGCATCATTGCATAGTGCCGTGGTTGTCCTGTACGGTTCCTTGGTAATACTGCTTGGTTCCTGATTATCACTGCATGGTTCTATAATATCTTTGCACAGTTCATTGGCATCATTGCACGGTTCCATGGTTGTATTGCATGGTTCCGTAGTCACGCTGTTTAGTTCCCTGATATTACTTTGTGGTTTGGCAGTTGTGGTGTATGGTTCATTGGTATGACCGCATGATTCATGTATATGAACATTGCTGCATGGTTCCCCGATACTGTCAGTCGTAATAGGATCTTTGCTCGATTCACAAGTTTGTTGATCTGTCTGTAATTGTTCAACTTGGCCTTCAATCGTCAGTTCCCGTTGGGCAAAGTCTTCCTCCTCTACACAATCTATGCCATCATTACTACGTTCCCGGAGTGCTTTCTGAATGTCCCAGAATGCAATTCTGCCATTGGTGCCTGCACTGAGCAGAAAGGGGCTGGGTCCCCATGGGAAGTCGTGGGTCATGCCGAGTGTGGTAAGCAGGCAACAGCCTTGGGAGTTGGTCGAAAGATGCGGGAACAATTGCTTGGATTGTTCATCAAAAATGAAGAGCCTAAAAATAAAATTAAAAAAAACAAAAGCGAAGTGAGAAAACATAATTTTTTGTCCCACAGTTTTGTTAAATGATAAATTAGTAATGTAAAATATCGTATCTAAGATTGAACATTTACAATTTCACAAAGATATAGACAAAAATTTAAAAAAAATTTTGGGGTACATTATTACATTCTAAGTTGCTCTTAATATATAACCCAAGAGAGTTAATTACCTCAGGCAAGCGTCCGAGCCAGCCACTCCCAGCATGCACTCAGCCCTCCGGTAGCCAATCAGCTCGCTTCCTTTCCACACGCAGACCGACATGAATCTAGTTTCTGGATCAATGGTACGTCCGTGTCTCTTCAACCAGCGTCGTTGCTTGACATTGTCCGTGTTTCCATAAGATGCTAGGTGCTCTACGGTACACACAGATTTTAGCCACCCAGGAGCCTATAGATTATAAAGTATCAAAATGTGGTTATAGTGTTCACTTATGTTGACTTGTTCGTTTTTTTTTTTCTTTCTATCTCTGAAAAATGTAATGGGCCCTCAAACTATTTCAACTATCAAATTATTTCAGACTGTTCAGATTGCCAACAAAAACAAACCTGGTCTTGTATCGGGCAGTTCCTAGGAATTGTCACTCTCCAACATTGAATAGCTCGCCGGCCACCCACAGAGAACAGCAGTAACCTTTGACCTGCCTCCTGACCTTCCGTGACCTCTGCTTGTTCTTCGCCTTCCCCCTCCTCCGAGTTCTTCATCGTGGATGAAGCAGGGCAGGCAGCAAGACAGCGGACACTTGAAATGTGGACTTGCAGACGATGCAGAACTTGAATTGTGGAAGGTTTGCCAATGGGGACTGTGAGCTAGCTAATTAAGGAAAGATCTTCTAAGTTCAAGAAGAATCTCCAAATCAAAGTTCTTATTAAAAAAAAAGCATTGTATTTTAGATTGCATTCACATTTAGGAAGATTCTATGGTATCACGAAATTATTAAAGGACCCATGTTACGGTTTAAAAAAAAATGCAATCCTTAAATGTACCTTTGTGATCCATTTCACTATATTTGTAATCTTCATATTGCCATTTTAAGGACGTTTTGGTGCCTTTTTGATTTTTAAGTTAATGGAAATATCCATATTCACATCTGCTTCAGCATAAACAAATCACAAGAATTTCAGGGGTGTGCGGTGGTTATTGTTTTTGCTTTCAGTGGTTCATTGTTGTTTCAGTATATGACAGTAAGACAATGAGAAAATTTCATGCACAAATGTTTTCCGACTGCGCACAAAGCCATAGTGTCTTAGCGTTCGTGTCAAGTGTAGTTGCCGATGCGTTTGAATTTCACTTCCAGTGGTCTCCCCTCACTCTCCTTTTCTTGCCGTTGAGGGAGTACTTGTGCACGGAGCACATAACAAGTCACACGTCACTCCCAAATCAAATCACATGCTACGTCATAAAACTGACAAAAGATGAACAATGACAATGGACTAGCTGTGTCATAATTCCTTTAACCCATTAGCACTTGTTCTACATTGTATTACATTGTATTTTTTCACTGAAGAATCAATAAAACCATACAGTGCTTAGGCGGTTTCCGGCACAACAGTGACTAAAGGGTTAAATAGCTTATCACTTGACTTGAGGTTTTGATTGACGTACTATGCCCTTGTAATTGAGAACTAAGATAAGGATACACATAATGGCAACTATGTTGACTGCGTTGTCTTCACTGCCCGTAGCACACACTGCGCATTCACCTACAAAGATGACAACGTACATGACATGTCTTCAAATAATAAATATACAACAAGAAAAAATCACTTTTTATAACTGAGAGTGTATCAAGACATAAAGTGTGCCATATTTAACTTACCTTCGGGTAGAGCGACGGTAGCAAGGTATTTGATGTAAGTGACTCTTCGTCCATGCAAACTCTCCTAAAAATGAGAACATTTAAGAATTCACCAAGTCAGTCACTTTGTCAAACTAGAACAGCAAAAACAACAGTAAAATTAAGTGAAATTTCTGCAAGCTAGTAAAACTTGCGTCTCAAAAAGTTGCGAGTGAAATACATCAATGAGGTGGAGAATGTCATGCATGTATTTAAAAAGGGGGGGGAGCTGGACATCAATTGATTATTATACTTTGTGTTTTAATTAATTATCCATACATAAATGTACACATGCATGCTTTGCATCCATTTACTTCTTTGCACTGTTTGAGTTTAAATTGAATCAGGGGTGTGAGTGACCACTGATAAATATAGCTGAAAACAGCTGAAAACTGTGTAAAAAAGCTGAACTTTGGAAATCTATCTTTTGTACACAGCAGGTGAGGAAAAAAAGCTGAAATCCAAAACAAAAAAAGCTGAAATCAGCTTTAAAGCTGAGATTTCACACCCCTGTTGAATGTAATTTTCCCAAACTTTTATTCTACACGTAATTGTTCTACACGAAACTTGAACAATGTCTTTCTTAAAGGAGAAAAAAATTTGTATTGAATTAAAGCTTTCTTTATTTATCTATTTTTTACTTCTTTGTGCTGTAAAGTTGACACGAGGATGTCACTCATGAAGAAATGGGGAATGATCCTATAGCACGTCCCCACCTGGTCAAAACCCTTTCCATCCTGTCCCCCATCCCTGGGATTTATGCCCCTAGGGGTGGGGAAGCTTCCCCAGTACTTGACTCACCTTGAGTATCGGATGCTGCTGAAGTTTCTGTCCTGGTGCCGTACACACAATGATCTTTTTTGCTTTTATACAAGCAAACACCGCCAATGTGCTACCAGTGCCATCAATGCTTGTTACAGCATCCCCAGGGGTGGGGCTACTGTCCCCACTGCTGGGAATGGAATCCCCTGGGGTAGGGAGAAGCTTGCACGTGGCAAAACCCCATGCCCTGTGACCCCCGCCGCATTGGATCTGCACCAGTTTCTCGTTACTGTGTTGACTCCATACAATGAAAGATGACTGCAAAATCACCAAATGGGAACAAAAAATGAAATTCCTCAAAAAGAATAACAGTTAAAGGGACACTGTGTCCTGGAATGAGCCCAATTGGGCTACAAAATGTCCACATAACCATCCTTTAAAAACTGGGCGTTTTTGTGTTATTCTTGCGAGAACCATGCAAGAACGAATTTCGGGGGTCAAAGTGTTGACTCCCAAAAACCTAGCTGTTGAGTGCTAGTTGGGAATCCTGTCGCACGGTGCATCGCATTCTGCGGATGTGCGAGAAACAACATTTATGTACTGGTGTACACAGTCTGAAATTTGTATCCTTGTGGAGATATTTCTTTGTTCTCGTGTTATCAAGTTTTCGAGTTTGAAAGTGTCGTTTCGAAATGCTCTTATTTTAACCAGAATTAATTTCCTTGGCTGAAATACGGACTTACTATTCCTTTTCTATAACTCTTTCATTTGCGATGGATCAACCCACCTTGGAAATTCCTAGTTTTTGAGTAAAATCCATATATCTATTTCGTGAAAACCTTGTGGAGAGGTATTCATCTATAGAAATTGCCCTGTGGAGACGTATACAGTATTTTGTTCCCTATTGTGTGCATGTCTCCAGAGGGCACGGTGTATCAGATCTGTATTATGTGACACACACACAACATGTACACTTGTAATGGCTCGATACAGCTTGGCCAGAAGCGCAAATTGTTTTTAGATGGCTAGAGCTAATGCTCAACAATGAAAGGGAAACTTCAACTGACAGTTTTGTACACATTTTGTGATGGCTAATTTTTTCAGAAGGCAAAATGTAAGACTTACAGCATGAAAACCAGTCACTAAGACATCGTCTGCAGCAGTGAAAGAAATACTCTCAATCCAGTTAAAACCTTTGTACACCTTGTTAAAAAAACATTGGGAGGAAAAACACAAACTCAATCAATATTTAATAAAGATGCCTTGGTAAGCTTAATTGTTTATTTGTTTCCATGAAAACAAGTTTTAAGTCGGTGTAGAAAACTTTTCAAGAAAAGTACTATCTGTCTGAAAGCTGTCTTGAAGCAATAAATATTGGTAAGATATAGACTGATTTTCTTGTTGTTTTCGGGGATATTTGAGGTCCATTAAAAAAAAAAAAATTTCAAGGTTGTTGTACATCAAACGTTTGGGGAAATAAGCGGATACAAATTTTACACCATATGTCGTCGCGTCAGTGCAACAACGTCGTATCTCCTAAAATGGCATAAACGCAAAACGAGAGTTTCAGAATGTCAAAAGGTCGTATGTGGCTTAAAATAACCCGGTGTACACGCAAAGTCAATGGACGTCGAGTTACGACGTTGTTGCACGGAGCGTATACGCGCGAGATACGACTTTGTTGCAGAATGGACATACGACCTTGTTGCACTGACACGACGATGTACAAATTAAGCACACGTACATTAACACAAATGCTTAGTGAAATTCCTTTTTATTAGTGATGTTATACCTTGAAAGTATTCAAGATCTGCAGTCTGGTGCCCCGTATCCTGTACTGCCTGTATGTGCCATCTCTACCTGTACTGTAGACGCAGCCAGCGTGGTGGCAGACTTGAGTCACACCAGCCTTGCCGTGTATGCAGGGGAGGGAGTGTGTGGGGCCAACTGGCTAGACAAAGTGAAAACAGAGAACGTTAAATGGTAAAATATGTTATCGAATCGGGGGTAAATTTACCTACCCTAGTTGAAAAATGTCTTTAAAATGTGGTTATTTTACCTAGAACAAGTCCCGCTTCGTCAACTACGCACTAGGATGCTGTTGACTCTTGTATACAATTGCAAGTAAATAATTGGTCACAAAATGGTTGACATAGAGAAGTTACCCAATTCTTACCTTGTCTTCCTGTTTCCTTTTGTGCAGTTGAGTGTACAGAAGCAGAGAGCCTCTCCGATCTCCACACACGAGGGCGCCCTCCTCATGAGGAACTAACGCAGCGGTTGTCAGCCATCGCTGCGGTGCTGGAGGCAGACGGAACCGGGCTGCTTCCTCCAGGCAGTAAGCACTGCTGGATTTCTTGACATTCAACCAGATCTTTTGAAACGACAGACGGCAACAATAAACCACACATTTTATTAAGCTCTGTGAACACTTCACAGCCCAGTATTTGGTAGTAACATTTGTACTAAGAAGCATTCAACTACAAAATTGCAAAACTGGGCCATTTCTCACCACGACTCCATCAGGTCCAGAGACAAAGAGACTATCCTCGTTTTCCCAACACAAGCTGAAAACTTTCCCGGTAAACACTTCCATCTCCAGCAAGGTTTTGCCATTGTCTGCACATGAAACAGGGGAAAATTCTGTTCTAAATTTACAAATCACTATCCAAATCTAGTCCGATATTTTGTTCAATGAAATTCTATATAGCTCTTAATTAAATTTCTATTTTGTTTTTGGGGATGTCAATTTTAATTTAAGCTTTAACCTTCACTGTCATAACTTTTTTAACAAGCTCTCGGCATTTGGTACACAGGCAAACGTCCATTAATGCCATTAATTGTGCACAAAAATGCAAGGTTGGGACCAAGGCTTTATGTTCACAATAGAGTACCGAAGTGTGACGTCATTTGGAACCAGAAAGTGAAGTGCAAACGAATGGAGTACGCGCGCCTGTTGGTTCTAATGTCTTTCACACACATTTGGTTCTAATGTCTTTCACACACATTTTGTGCGCGTGACGTATTCACTTCGGTAGTCCATATAAATCAGAATGTGGCTGTTGCAGAATTTAACAACAGTGTTTGGTCATATTTGAGTTGACAAACTATGGAAGGTCAACGTTTCAAAAATAAAGAACAGTTATTAATGTTTAAACATATCATTGTTGAAAATAAAAAATCATTTTAGAAAATACAAAATAACCAACACATGCTACCAAAGACTGGAATAAAAAGCCTCTATCTTACATAATAAGGGTGTTAATATGCAAGTTTTGGCAAAATCTGTTGCCGACCACGGCATAAAATGTGCAAGCCTGTGCCAGCCCATACAAAATGGAGCTCAATGTTTACAACAAAAGATAGGTCTATAAGGGTTACATAATTATGCTTTTCGTTCATGGTTATGCCCCTTGTAAAAGCCAAAAGGCTATTTTCATGAAAGCCTCAACTTACCCAGAGCTACAATCTTCAGACTGCCCTGGATGTTTCCCAGGGCAGCTACTTGGTAATTGGGACAGACCATCAACAGGCAGTAGGATTGGTAGTTAGGGTCGTGCGACAGCAGTTCCCACTGTTTGTTTCCTATGGTGTAGCACAGCAAGCATCTACGGTGACAAAAATTAGACCACAAAATTAATACATGTACTCCCATTATATTTGTGGGTTGTATGTCTACCGGTTATGACCTCTGCATGCAGAATAACATGGACTGGCCCAATTTCACGGTGCTGCTAAGCACACGATTTTCTGCTAACAGAGCCTCCGTTTACTTCATGGAGACCGTAAGCATAAGCACAGCAAAATACACGCTTACTTCAGGGGGAACTTTGCTTAACTTTTTATAATGACGTAACAACAGAAATCTCCATGCACGCGGGACAGTTAGCACGTCCAAGCCGTGAAATAGTGCTTAAGTTTAGCAAATTTTCTACTATGCTAAGCTCAACTTTTCTGCTAACTGTTAAGCAACGCCGTGAAATTGGGCCCTGCTCTGATGAAAGGGTGCCAAAGTGACAAATGTTATCAAATTAATTTTAGGATGGATTTTTGGGTTGGATTCAGATAGGTTCATGTTAAAGAGCCCAGGGGTTTCGGTTGAAGTGTTTAGTGTGTTATCACTAAAATTGTACTCAAAGCCTTGCATTTTCACTCTGGCACAAAGCCTTTTGTCAAATACAATTTCCAAGGGCTTGCACAGAAGACAGAAGTAGACTTACCCATTCATTCAGAGTCAAGACGATGATCTTCCAGAGTTTAGAACAGTAAGTTGCCTTGGGTTGAATCCGTCAACCATCAGCACTTCTGTGCCACAGGACGTGCTGGTAGTTTCCAAGGCTCTGAGCAAGTTGGGAGGGGCATCAGTCTGGATGTTCAATTCCTCGGTCGTGATGCCTGCGATGTGTAAAAGAGGTTAACCACTCCATCAAAATGAGGGATAAGTTGGGGAAGATCACAATAGACCGATCCATTAAGTCCGCCCACGATGTTTTGACCAATCACAGTGGGGATTATTGTCTGACATGCGGGCAGAAAAGCTAGCACATGCAGTGTGGCATTGAAAACAGGGACACATGTGTTTTTTTTTCAAAGTGCGTAGTGGGCGGTGCTTAAGGAATCAGTCTATTTGGACGATTTCTCATTGCAAGATGTGTCAACAAATTTGGCACCCATACAACTCTACCAATGTATTGATCATGTCCCTTCAAACGATTCATCTCATTTCTTAGGCAGGGTTTAGGTTGAACTCTCTAGACCAGAGGTTGTTTCTGAAATTTGTTTAATCAATGTGCAATGGAAACCAAGTAAACAAAAAAAAACCTGTGCAAGCCAGAATTTAAATTTCCTTACATTTGTGGAAAGTTTAGTGGTATCATAAGCCTATGTCTCAGAGTAACTTCATGATATGTGCAAGGCACATATTATTTCCTTCTACCCAAACACCCTCCAGGCAGAACTTTTGGAAGTTTTCCTGCAGGCCTAAAAAAGGGACCCAACAACATAGGTAGTTAGTGCAGACCTCACAATACAAAAGAAATCCAACAAATTGTACTCGTCGTGTCAGTGCAACAAGGTCGTAAACTCCCTCTGCAACAAAAGTCAATCTCGCGCATATACGCTCCGTGCAACAAGGTTGTATCTCGATGTCCACTGACTATATGTTCATCCGGGTTATTTTAAGTGAGATACGACCTTTTGACATTCTGAAACTCTTTCTGAAAACCTTTTGCTCACTCCTCACACTTTGCTGCAGAATCAACACCGGATAAGGTGTCTTTCTTTCCAAAATCCAGCATAATTATTCCAAAAACAAATTTGAAATTTCCAGCACATTTCTTAAAACCTCACTGCTTACTTACATTCTTCCTGTTTCGTATCAATAGGCCAGACTCGTATGCTGCCATCTCCACCAACCGGTGACCTATAAATAGCGACCCAGAAATTGGTGTTAGATTTTAAGCAAATATCCTCATCTTCTTAGCAGGGAAAAAAATACACGGCCTAAGGCAAAAAAAAAAAAATATATTCGGGTCTCTGGTCGACCAAAGTTCCGGAATTGACGCGGCGACGCAGGTTTTTTTTTTTCTTTTTTTTTTCTTTCTTCAAGCTTGATTGTACAGACAAGGTGGGGTACTATTTGTTTTTTTTGGTGTCCTCATGTACATTGATGTCCTCCATAATTTGCCTTGGTGCTTTCGATCATTTGCCTTGGTGCAATTTCCCATTCCTTTGTGCTCTTTGGTAAAAAAAATTGAGGAGGTGCGGCAATAGAGGGCGCTGTTGGAGCTACCGCAGAACATTTTGGAAAAAAAAAAGATTGACGCGCATGATTAAAATTGACGCGCGAGCTGACCAGAGACCGACTTATTTTTTTTTTGGCCTAACAGTGGGTACATTTATATATTTTCCTCCTAAATATTGCAACTTTACCCAAATTTTGCTTGAACACGTATTTCTTATCACAGACTAGTAAAAAAAGAAAGAAAAACACATGTGCAGTATTAATTGAAAAAAGAAAAAGGTTTATGATGTTGAACCTACATGTATGAACAAGAACATTCTCATCCCTGTAATGAATGGAAAATCTAACCTAGATCAACGAGAAACAACATGTCAACAAAAATCATTTTTTTGCAGAAATAATGCAGTTTTGACATTGTTGGTACTTACAATCAGTTTCTGATTCTCGTGGACAGCTAAACTCCATATAACTTCGCCCCTGCAACAAACAGAATTTAACATGTTTCAGAAAACAAAGT